CCCCCCCACCCCGTGCCCGCCCCAGGGAGGTTGATCCTGGCCCCCCCCACGTGACGCCGGGTCCTGATCTCATAAGAGCCTTTGGACCCGAGGCCGGAGCAGCCATGGCCACCCCCGCGCCCCGCACCGTCCTCGTCACCGGCTGCTCCTCCGGCATCGACCCCCAGCAGCGTTACCAGGGTGAGGAGAAAGGGTAGGGGGGGACACCCTTCCACCTTGACCCCCCACGGCCCCACTTCCGATCTCCAGGAACCCTCCGAGATGGGGCAGAGGGATGGGGAGGGTGCGGGGTTCACCCCATCGCTCCATCTTCACCCCCATCCATCCATCCACCCCTGGAACCTCTTTCTCCTCACAGCCCCCCCAATCTCACAGACCCCCCCCTCAGCGCACCCAGGGGTCCCTGTGCCCCCGCCCCTTCCTTGCACCCCCCTGGGTGCCATGGGGCAGCCCCCACGGGGGACACGGAGGGCACGAGTTGCTGTGGGCGCACACGCGTGTAACCGGCCGCACGCTTGGGCACACACATGTTGTCCTCGTCCCTGTGCCACTCACTGTGACACACACACACGCGTGTGTGTGTGTGTGTGTGTCCCCACAACTCCCCTGCCCCACACCCGACCCCACGCCAGGGCTGGGGATTAGTCCTGAGAGGGGGGATTAAAGGCCGTGTTACCAAAGCAGCTTAAAGGAAACGTGCTCCGGGCTTGACCCTTCGACCTTGGCTGGAATTTGGGGGGCAAATGACCAAAACTGGGGGTCCCCACAGTCATCGCCACCATGAGGGACTTGAGGAAGAAGGAGAAATTGGAACAAGCAGCGGGAGAGACGTTGGGGAAGACGTTGAGCATCCAACGCCTGGACGTCTGCAGCGACAGCTCGGTGGCCGAGTGCATGGAGAACATCCCCGGGGGGCACGTGGACGTGTTGGGTGAGCGGGGTGGGGGGTAAAGGGGGCCACAGGAATTCAGGGGGGGGTCTCTGAGCCCCCCCGTGGCCTTACCACAGTGAATAACGCCGGCGTGGGGCACGTGGGGCCGGTGGAGAGCATCAGCGTGGAGGAGATGAAGCGCATCTTCGAGACCAACTTCTTCGGGGCCGTCAGGATGATCAAGGCCGTCCTTCCCTCCATGAAGCAACGGCAGAGCGGGCACATCGTGGTCATCAGCAGCGTCATGGGGTTGCAGGGTGAGGTTTTTGGGGGGGCCTCCTCGATGGATTGACGAGGGGATGGAGTGCAACCTCAGTCAGTTGGCAGATGACCCCAAATTGGGTGGGAGTGTTGATCTGCTGGAGGACAGAGAGGCTCTGCAGAGGGATCTGGACAGGCTGGCTGGATGGGCCGAGACCAACGGGATGAGGTTCAACAAGGCCAAGTGCCGGGTCCTGCCCTTGGGTCCCACCAACCCCATGCAGGGG